CTATTGTGGTTAACAATAAAACAAGATCGACTACTAACATGTCTATTAGTATATTATTATGTTGTTTTGTAGCATTGTAAACACAATTTTTTAAACCTATTGTTATAAGTCACCAAATCATACATTTCTAACAACCTTAATACTAAAACTAAAAATCAGTACACCTTTTTATGTACTGAAGCATCTATTAGTATTTAAATGAATTGCAATAATAATGTTTTTGTCACAAATACAATTGAAATTTAAACTTACCTTCTCATACACCGTTCCAGGTATTGGAAGGCAATTTTTGACTTTACAGCAGGAAGTAGGTATTGCTTGAAAATCCAACAACCATTCTGTGTACGATTCGGCTCCACAACATTCAAACTTTAAAACAAATATAAATTTGTATATACAAAAAATGGGTAATAAAATGAACGAGAATTAAGAGCAAATGATAAAAAATAGTGCTGGAAAGATGTGTAGATAAGAGAACTTTACCCTATCTTGTACATACATTTCAACAGCCAGATTTACTGAGTTCATGCTGACTTGAGACATAGAATACTAGAATTGCTTTGATTTGGAAAGTTGCAATTTGAATGCATATTGTTACTATGTAATATAACAGTGAAGTTGAAGACCCAATGTGAATATATATAATATGAATATACTATATGAATAATAATAATATTCATCAATATCATTTGACCATCTTCCTCCATAATTTGACATACGTACCTTTTCTTGAACATAGTCTATAGCGTCTGTTGCTGCTTTTGTGTTGCCATATTCCTCTATAATTGTTTTCGACATTGTGTCCTGTAACTCTGCCTTCAGCTAATAGAGAAAAAGCCATACACAAATTTACGTCAAAATTAGGATACATTTGACAGTCTTATGATGCTGCCCATTATAGGCCTTAACTGATAATACATATGGTTATGGTTTATACCACACTACAAACTCTGTTCCCCACTCCCACCCACGCTTACGTAGTCTGATGGTAAATGTGTATTTTGAATATGATCGACTAGATTGTTGCTAGTGATGATTATGGTGATGGTATATTATAAACCTATCGTCAAACTTTCATTTCTTTATAATAATGATCTGCTTTACTTAGAGCCTGTAGCCTGTATGAGCGTAAATAGGCCTGTATTAATAAGAGTGTTCACTAAGACATTACCGAATCAAACATAAGAACGGATTATATGTCTTCATAACTAAGTGTAGATGGATGGAATTGGGCCACAGACCAATGACCTTGACTCTGGTTAAGCACCCGCATGCTAGGCCTACAGTAGCGACTTATTAAGGGGCATGACAAGTGGGGCATTTACATTATTTTATTCATTGGAAATTATTTTTTTTTAAATCCAAGAAGCTTTGAATCTCAAGCTATTTTCGTTGCTCTTTAGCGGATCGTAAGTCTATATATTTGACCTTTCATGATAATGATAATAATAATAATATCAATACTAATAATAAATAATATTAATAATAACCAGAGCCTTGCAGGCGTCAACGTTCCTATGCATGATACATGGCTTAAAAAGTATATAGGCCCTATATATATACGTATATATATATACGTACATATATATACACACATATATATATACACGTATATATACACGTATATATATATATATACGCGCGCGTGTACATACATACGCGTGTGTATATATACGCATGTATATTATACGTATATGTATATATATGTACGTATATATATACATATATATACGTATATATATATACGTATATATATAAGTATAAATAAAATATAAGTATAAATAAAATAAATATAAATAAAATATATAAATATAAATAAATAAATATATATATACGTATACACGTATATATATATACGTATATACGTATATATATACGTATACACGTATATATATATATGAGCGCGTGTACATATATACGTGTGTACATAAATACGCGTGTGTATATATATACGCATGTATATTATACATATATATATATGTATATATACGTGTATATACATACGTATATATATATATATACGTATATATATATGTATATATACATAAGTATAAATAAAATATATAAATAAATAAATATATATAAATAAACATACATACAATATATACATATATATGTAAATAATATTTATACATATAAGATGTGTATAAGAGACAGCCTTAATACTAAAACTAAAAATCAGTACACCTTTTTATGTACTGAAGCATCTATTAGTATTTAAATTAATTGCAATAATCATGTTTCTGTCACAAATACAATTGAAATTTAAACTTTACCTTCTCATACACCGTTTCAGCTAATGGAATGCAATTTTCGACTTTACAGCAGGAAGTAGGTATTGCTTTAAAATCCAACAACCATTGTGTGTACGATAGGGCTCCACAACATTCAAACTTTAAAACAAATATAAATTTGTATATACAAAAAATGGGTAATAAAATGAACGAGAATTGAGAGCAAATGATAAAAAATAGTGCTGGAAAGATGTGTAGATAAGAGAACTTTACCCTATCTTGTACATACAT